CGATGTACCTGCAGGCAGGAACACAGGCCAGGCTTCTCTGCGCTCAAGGTCGGCTGAAATGCAATTCCAGGAGCGCTGTTGTCAACCACTGCGGACTGGAGAGGACGCTGCGTGGGTGACCAGGCGCCCCCCTCCGATAAGGGCCGTAGCCTCCAGCCCACTCTTTAAGGTTCCCTGAAGTCAGTGATGGACGAGACTCCTCCGGCAAAGGAGACAACTCAGTTACAACCCAGACCCGAACTCCCCGGCCCCGGAGTGACGCAGCAGCCGTGTGAGAGAGCCCCTCACACTTTTGGTCACTGCCACCCAGTGGGCGGGGCGCTGCGCAAACCAGCTGCGCAGTAAGCGTCACCTTTGCGGCAATAAGTACCCCAGCTCGGTTATCTCCATGGCAACCGCGACCCGGTCACCCATTTGGCTCCGAGGTCGGAGTTACGTCATCGCCTTGCGCAGCCCGGAAGTGATTATCCCTGCTTTCGGGCCAACCGGGAAGCCCGGGCCGTCCATCACCGGCCGGCCGAGTTAAGCAAACTGATGTAGCGTCCACCCTGTGACCATGGCGGTGTTTCACGATGAGGTGGAGATCGAGGACTTTCAATATGACGAGGACTCGGAGACCTATTTCTACCCCTGCCCCTGTGGGGATAACTTCTCCATCACCAAGGTACCCTCAGGGCCCATCGGCGACTCCTTGAGCTTGCGCATTTTCCCTTCCGGTGTCCCTGGCTAGGCTGTCACCCACGTGTTCTCCTGAACCCCGCCGCTAAAGCAGTAATCTAAGCTGTCGGGGCACACGGTCTGGCCAGGGGGCGCAGTTCTCCCTAGCCCCACCCTTAAAATCTTTTCCTGGGGATTTCTTTGGAGAAGGGGATTCGATTTTGTACCCCAGCATTTTGGGGGCGATCAAAACAACCTAATCTCCCCGGTTTTTCTAGGTGACACTTTGGGGGAAGTTCTTTGTGCTATTACCCAATTCAATTCTTGCACATAGACGTGGGAAAGGCTTGTGGGAAGATGACGGAAGGGAGGCTATGCTGACCATACGTTGTTTGATTTCGTCCTAGGAAGATTTGGAGAATGGAGAAGATGTGGCAACGTGTCCTAGCTGCTCTCTCATTATAAAAGTGATTTATGACAAAGTAAGGGAGACATTGAAGGGGGTGGGTGGTGTAGGTAACGACAGAGACCTAAAGCAGCCTGCCTGATATAAAAGTGCAGAAGAGTGTAGGGAGTTTTTTTTTTTTTTTTTTCTGGGTTTTTGTTGTCTGTTTGTTTTTTGAGACAGGGTCTTTATGTATCCCTAGCTGTCTTGAAACTTGTTATGTAGACCAGGCTGGATTTGAACCCATAGAGATCCCCCTGCCTTTGCATATTGAGGGCTGCGATTAAAGGCATGGATCGCCACACCCAGCCTAGAAGAGCATTTCTTAACCTTGTGCTAGATCATGGGTATTTTAAAAGAGCTTTACAAATTGTCAGTACGTAGCTGTAGGATAATATTGTTCAAGTTTAAATTTACATAACTTGTGTTCACTTTGGAAAGGGCAGTAAAGTATTTAATATTCAAGTTTGTTTAGAGCTCCAGGACATTTTGAAAAGATTGTCTTTTTATTGCTTGCCTGGTTTATGCATACAGTCTATGTTATCTTGTTTGACATATAATTCCAAGTTGTGATTTTTACAGTTTCATGTTAAATTTGTT